CAAATAATAATACTTTCGCTCCTTAATATACTTCATATAATCAGATTGCACTGATCCTAAATCCCACAATCTCATCTTACCCAGTACGAACTGCTCAGGCAATAAGCCACTCCGAATGCGATCACAAGTCTCATATGACGCCACAATGTGCAAATAGGCCACCAATCCGAACACAACACAAATAGAAATCGAACTCTCGAAGGAATTACCTAACTCCCGCACTACTACGGACTTTCCTTAGAAAATAGGAAGCGAAACACACAAAGAAAATAACATATAGAGGACCAGACTCGACATCACACTGTTGCGGCACGCAACCCGATCTAACTAACATAACCATGGCGGCGTGTCACCCGATCCATACATAGATATCACATAAGGAGATTGCACTTCGAGCTAAATCTGCTCATTACAATAAAAATATCGAATTTCGATCGTAAGCACGCTAAGTGCATAATACCATCCCCGAGAAAACACGTAGCGCTATAGGCTACAAACTCAAGCACAACTGAGGTGCGATACAAGATCTAAATCTCAAGAGCCATCCTGCTCACATAACACCATCGCAACGCGGAACCTCAACACATAAGAATTTACTAAGCCGTCTCACAACTCATACGGCGAAATACATCATTACCTGGAATAGCTGATGACAAAATAACACCCCGACTGTTCCTCCATAGGGAACGCTCGCTGAAATGAACACAACTGGCCTGATATAAAGCCCTGTTCACATATATAAATCAATTCATTGATCTCAAGCCGATTTCTGATTGCACCCACTTGGCTAATAACCTTTCAAAGGTCCACAGTAACTCCCTTTTCCTCATAACACATAAGAACAACCATCATAACCGGAGCAACCTCCTCGGTTCATAACCCAATAAACAGAGTGCCCTCCAAGACTAAATTCTCAAATTAATGATATTACCACAATCCACATACTTGGTCTAAATCTTTAGTCAATCAAGTGACTACTTGTCACACTTATACAATCTTCCCGTGGGACACGCCCCTACAATTTTCCGAAATAAATAACGGGTCCGCTTATCCAAACCATCGGCCGCACTAACGCTGAAAAGCGATCAAGAATCCTTAACCAAGATGCAAAGCCTTTTTCACAAAACATCAATCTCAGATGGCGCTGAAAACAACACCAATTTTCTTTAATCATTCACCCCTTTCCTTGCTCATCCGAGCCCGTGATATCCTTACCAGCACCAAACTGCAACCTTAATCCTCACTTCGAATTTATATGCTACTTACTGCACCCAACGTGCTAATGTACGATAGAACACGATTTTCATCATAACTCCGAAATCATTAATATTTTAACACTTCATCATATACAAACTTTTCACTTAACTCACTGCAGGAGAATCATAGCAACACACAGGTAATTTCCCATAACCGTAGGATATGCAAATATGCAAGTAGTGGTCTAAGCCACCATAGCCCTTCCGGAATCCGCTTCCACTTAACAAGCCATAACAGAAGAGTGACCCTAATAAATCATCAATCACGGCGGCCGACAGGCCTCACACGTACCTCCACAAATCATATACATAACTTGATCTCGCGGACCGAACTGATCACTGGCCCGAATATGCCAATTCAACTATGGCTAATCAATTTACCTTCTTCCAATTCCTCCTTGCTTGCCTTAAAAATAAGACTAACTCCATTCAACACATAACATACTCCATCTACACTCGCCCCGATTGACCTTGAATCACGAGACCAGGCTGTCTCCATTCCCACGAACTATTCCACATCACTCAAACGCTACGCCACAAGTTGAAATATCATAGAACATCCTGGGCACCTTCTCATAAGCTACTACAAAGCTTGGTTCGTAACTGTACTTATAGGCTCGAAATCATTGGGAACCACACTTTAACTTCTGAATTCACTAGGACCATTATTGAGAGCCACCCGCTCTGACTTGGTCCCGAATATAATTCACTCCATGAATCTTCTAGCACATTAATACCCTCTCAACGAAGCACCTGGCAGAACCATTCCCCTTTAAACCCGCTTCTATACAAGGCATAAATTCTTAATCCTTTCCCAAGTTCGAATATGAGCCCATAAGGCTAACCATAGCACATCCTTAATAATTCCTCCGCTCAATTTACTACTTATGGTCTTTTCTCGTAGCTGAATTAATCCATCAATATGCTAATAACCAGAAATCACGCAAGTAGTTAATCATACAACCCAATCATAAGCAGTGGACTCTCCCACTTGGCTTGAAGCCATCATTTCACCATTCTTGAGTTCTCCCGACCTTTTTACCTCTTATTGACTTAACCTCGAGCCACCAATTATCAGAATCTCTCGGGATCTTCCTGTAAATCCCCATCTTTCATATTCTGAGACATCATCCACATTCGCACGACCGACCTCTTTGTTGATCAACCAATATAATTCCTCGCAGAAGCTTCGCCAACCACGCGACCGCTAATCTGCTCATGGGGGAATAACCCACCTAGGGGAATCACCTCCCGACATCTTCCCACGCTGCTGCATGGGGTACATTCACTATGACACCAATAGCCCATCCTGAGTCCGAGCTCACCTTCCAGCTGCACAAGTCCATTCGCTCCTCGCGGACATCAATTAAATGTGTGGCAACATCCTTCCAAATTCACGGTTATGCTGCACCCTTCCCCATTTCAAGCAGCTCCGTCCTGCCATATCAATCTTTTGCCGCATACTAGCCCATACTTCCAATCATACCCGCAGACTTCAATCACCAATCATTAAAATCCCCAATTCGATCCAAACTCTCCTTAGGGCGCGTAGTCTTCCTACTACCAAGCCCATATGCACACCCGCCACTCTCCCACTTTGGCGGAACTCATCTCCTTAATCGTTCAGTCGACCTTGCTCCTCATACTTGGCCTTCTAGAAATTTCAAGCACCGCCTGGCACTTCCCACATGTCCTTCCTCATACTTCGCTGCTCAATTGTTGCCTTAAATAAAATCTATCTTCGTGGCACTAGAACCCACCATTGCTACTAACTTTAAACCTTTCCAAAGGTCATCTTTCTCGAGCCATCAACATTAGAAATTCTGATTCGATCCTAAACCACCGCACCATGCGACAACTGACAGTTGTACCTCCAATATTATTTCACAAAACCCTGCCATAAAGGCGAATTGTAGCAGATCATAACACCAACAACTTAGTAC